CTTATTTACTGGCCGGAATGTTGTTGTAAGGAGTCGTACATGTTTAAATAGCTTTTTTCGGTTCTTACCATGGGTTCCATTTCTGGATAGGTTTACTTAGGTCTTGTTCGGTGTATCCCCCGTATCATTAGGAAATCATCAGTTGTGTCTCGCTGCGCAATACCTAACCGGGGGGCCCCATCTAAATCTACGTAGCTGGCTGCGCGGGCGTTTCGCATGCGGCAGCCACTAGCATGCAATAGGAGCGCACTTGTTTGACCTCGTTGTGATCTGACCTAACCACTGACATTCTTAAGTATTGATGCGCGCATTTCCCGCTCGTATAGGGAATATGCCTAACAAGGCAGTAGCTACTATTATTGCGTACATATATTTTCTTTGCTGCTGTTATTCTCTATATCCACTATTGTCTAACATTCCTATGATTGAAAGTTAAGGCAGGTAAGTCATTCTTCGAGTTAGATATTTTCGTATGCCTTTTTTTCTTGCGTGAAGGAGCCAGTGCCTGATTGAGGTATGTTGGAATTTCTAATTGATTTCAACTATCGAAATCTCAAGCTGCTCCTTTCTGCTGATAAGAAATCCCATGTATTATTTTGTATGTGGAATGAAAGTGTCATCAACTACTTTTTCTCACCGTCATACTACAGTACATACTTAAATAGCCAGTATTCACCACGATATTTATTATTCTTTTGACTGAACGAATTTGGATAACGTTTATTCTCAAAAATAAATGCATTGATCGGAATCATTACTAATTAACTGTGTACATAAGATTGGGGATATGGCTTTTTCCAGTTATTGATTGTCTTTGAGTTTTTGCCTCCGACTGCGATAGTGGGAACGATGAATCGATAGTATTAGTGATTAAAGGATAGAACTGATACTTACTGTGAAGAGTTCTGCTTTAGTTAACTGTGGTTTTCCTCCAAGCTTGGTAAGTTCCGGTCTCGCCGCAATGTGCGGCTCAGATGTTGAAGCTCTCACTCTTATCCTAGAAGCTTGCTCGATCAAGTCATATATTTCTTTGAGAGATTCTAGGGACTCCTCTGTGTCAATATTCACAAGAGTGTCGACATGAGCATTGACCACAGCGTATCTCTATAAGTTGTGCATCAAAGAATACGTTGTCATAGATGTAAAGTTGTTTACTTCTCTTACACTTTCAATGTTGGCTCTCAACTGATTTCTTTTTTGCTTTCTTTCCTGAGCCGATGTCACTGCTTGCGACGTGGAGTTCCACATGTGCCAGATGTTTCACCGAAGTCTGGTACGCTTTCACACCTCTCTGGAGTTGAAGTTTGAGCGCCGCTGGGACTCCAAAGAGCCACGCACCACCATAGAACTTCACTGCATGCTTATGGATGCAACTGATGCCGGCCCTGTTATCCAAGCATGTACAATTCCACGAATATGGGCATACACTGCAGAGTGGGCAGTGAACATTTCCACTAAGTGAGATATTGCAAGTGCAGCTAGCTTGAAAAGTGACGAAGTATAGTTCTTCCGCATGTTTTCCTTCTACTTGCCATTCCCTCTCTCCTATCCTGCACACCTTCTCTGGCTTTGCTTCATAATGTTGCATGGC